GTTCAGCTGCGAAAATTCAGCTGCAAAAAAATTAGTTGCAAAAAATTCAGCTGCAAAAAATTTAGCTGCAAAAAATTTAGCTGCAAAAAATCTAGCTGCAAAAAATTTAGCTGCAAAAAATTTAGCTGCAAAAAATCTAGCTGCAAAAAATTCAGCTGCAAAATATTTAACTGTAAAAAATTCAGCTGCAAAACTTCAGCTGCAAAAATTCAGCCGAAAAAATTTGCTGCAAAAATTCAGCTGTAAAAATTCAGCGGCAAAAATGTTGACCTTTTGGTGAACTCAAGCTAAAGCAATCTACACTCGATAGAGTCAAGCAGCTTCTAGCCAATGAAATTGGCTTATTTTGTCACGTGACACAACGGCTGCGCTCAGCGCTGTTCCCGGCAGAATGAGGAATTTTTTTTTGATAAACAATTACAAAACGTCAGTTAGCTACTAACAGACATCTATTAAGGTTTTTCTCTTATCAGACTGGGTGAAACAACTGAGCCGATCACAGCTAGTACTGCACCCTGTTTGTTTGCCGCCGCCACATTTTGTAATTCAATCTGTTTAACAAAAAAGATAAAAAAAATTCCTCATTCAGCCGGAAAACAGCGCTGAGCGCAGCCGTTGTGTCACGTGACGAAATGAGCCAATTTTATTGGCTAGAAGCTGCTCGACTCTAGCGAGTGTAGATTGCTTTGGCTGGAGTTCACAACTTTTGCGGCTGAATTTTTGCAGCTGAATTTTTTGCAGCTGAATTTCTACCAGATAAAATTGAGTGTAAGGAATGCAATGTCAAAAAAAATTCATTGATTAAAATTCGGTGTTAAAAAAAAGGCAGATTCCAATGACACTGTTATTTTCCATAGAACAGATCCCAGCCCCATTTTATTTTACTACCTAAGAAATGAAATATTTTCCTGTACCTCCTGCAATGCACTTGCGGACCACTAGGGGTACGTGTGCCTCCTGCTGGGAATCACTGCGTTATGCTACATTCAGACCGCGCTCAGCGGATGCAGCAAAAACGCGCATGCTGCTTAATTTTTTATGCTTGAACATGTTTAGTTCTGAAGCATCTTTGATGCGTGGTGGGCGGAGCTTCCTGATCCTTTCTTTTCCTGTAACAATGGCAGTTAAATTTGCTGTGATCAGTGGGTAAAAAGTAGTTTTAATATGTTTTTAAGTGAGAAAGTCCTCCTGAAAACATGGTCTGTGCAGTCAGTTCATCCCGATTACCATCCTGTTTTAATCTGAAGCTTAGCTGCCGTTAATCTCTGCTGACTGTAGATCTAGAATTGAATCTGTTAATCTAACAGAAACGGCTGTTCCTTCATCTTTAGACCACTTTCGGTCTTATTCTCTGGGCCCCACCTGCAGCCTCCACATGGCTCCTGGTGTTCAGCGTCGCCCTGGAGACCAGCAGCTCCTGACGCAGCCTCAGCACCTCCTGCTGCAGCGCCTGGGCTCGTTCCTTCCACGCTTCCTCCCGCCTCCTCAGTCTGCGGCCCAGAGCCTCTGCGTGCTGTCGGCCGCTCAGGCCAGGGCGTCTGCTCCTTATCACAGCCACCGCCGCCGCCACCCGGGCTTTTAGGAGAAGCCAAGAGGCTGGGCTGGACCCTGGAGCAAACAGAGCAGGGAGGTTTAGGCAGCATCAACAACGGCGCTTTATTTCTTTAATCCTCCTCTCTATTTGTTTTTATCATTTTAAAGCTGCTGGTGACGATTCTCAGTCATCCAGGTCAGAGTCAGTCCAAAAAAGTTAAAAACAATCCACTGGACTTTGTTTCCAAGTTGATCTATCTATCTGTTCTGTATAGCACTTCTGGATAGATGCAAACCACATTTCGTTGCTTTGTACTCGTGACGGTGCAACGACAATAAAGCTGAATTCTATTCTATTCTTTTCTGGATAGAACAGAGGCATTGTTAATTATTTAAACATTATTTAAAAGAACAAAATTAAAGAAAGACGCAGAATTCATTAGAAACAGAAATTACAGAAAACTAATAAAAGACATTCTAATAACTGGACATTAACATTTTACTCAGGTTGTCATATTTTTCTATATATTTTTAAATTAAAGTCAAATTTAATAAGAGAGTTAAGAAAATTTGGGAATGTTTAGAATATTTGTTTATGAAGATCAGATTACATCCATTATTCTTCAACAATTTTACGAATATTATCGTTTTTCTACAAATAGTTTTTTCTATTTTATTCCAAAATGTTTTAGTTTTATTAAAACAGTAAAAATTACATACTATGGTTTTAATAATTTGTTTTAATAATTCTGTGCTTCATAAAAGCACAAAGCAGTGGAAAAATTTTCAGATGTTTAAATCAATGTGTGTGGGTAAAAAAATTCTTATTTCAAACATTTTTTTACATGTTAAATAAATCATCTTGTTCCCTTCAATAATAATAACCCAAATCTTCTATCTTTAGACCTTTACTCTAGAAGTGATTTATTTTTGTTTATCTTGCCAGCTTATTTTAAAAGTTTAAGTTATTATATTTTATTGATATTTCTCTTAGAAAGGAGGATCCATTGCTTTTAAAAACTGTTAAAAATATAAAAAATATTGGTCCCTGTTTTCTCCAGAAGGGAAAATGTTTGAAACTTTCATCTGAAACAGAAGCTGCTGCTAAAACATGGCGGCTAATCTGTTAGCTAACAGGAAAAAAAGAAAAACATCCTACAAACTAAACCCTAACTTTACTTTAGTCTTTGCTTTCCTCTTTAAACTGATTTAATTACACACGTTACTTCTAATAAAAACCACTTTGGTTGTTTTTCGTGAAGTAGAACTAGAAGTTGCTACAAGCTAGCTACCCTGTCAGCTGAATAAGGAGAAAATAAAAAGTTAATTCCGGCATTAAATGGTTTAACATCACGTATGGCGGCAGCAGAGTCAGCAGGTACCGTTCAGGAGGTTCGGTTCTGTCTCCATGGCTCAGAAGCTGGATCAGAAGCTAGCAGCTAGCAGAGCTTCTCCTCCGGCTGATGTTCTGCTCCAATCGGTCACACAACAAAGTTACTCCGAGGTTAAAGGTCAGAGGATCTGGCTCTAATTTAGACTGGGTACAAATATTTTTTAGCAGAATAAAATATTTATCTAATAAATGGCCAATAATATTTCAGAATAGAGGCATTTTAATCATATATTACTTTTATAATTTATTATTTTTCTCTGATCTACAAGGAGAATTTAAATAAAAAGTAATCCAGATTATTCTGATCAGAAATGAGAAAAACAGATCAAGAGAAAAAGTTAATAATTCCCATTTACAGGAAGACTCCTACAACAGAGAGCTCCACCTGCTGGCCTGGAGGAGTCACTGCTTTCTTTCTTTCTTT